TTCATCGTCTCGGCCAATAGCATGCCTTTCAGAACAATGGATTTCCAGTGAAATACTGGAGACGATCTCGGTTCACCTTTTTCTCTTTCATCCTTCGGTTCTGGAACCAAATCTTCACTTGTCGGTCTGTAAGACTGAGCATTCTTGACAAATGCAGACGTTTCTCTTTGTTTATGTACACATTGAAAAAGAATTCTCGTTCAAGTTCTCGGATCTGGTATTTCGAATATGGGCATCTCTTTTTTCTGGACTTTGTTGTACCTATAAAAAGAAAAGTAACTTGATTACATTACAATAAATGTAAAGGCTAACTTTAAAGCCTTTTAAAAACGTTTGCAATACAACTGCAGATGCTTCATGAGTTGACATTAAAAGTTCGAGTACAGCCGATACTTCAGATAATAATGCCAAATCTGTAACGAGACTATTGTGTAATCCACACTGCAGTTACAAAGACAAAACAATCGGAAAAACTAAAGTATGTACACAGACTATAAAACAATACAAGATCTGCCACATGAAAGCATGCAACCGGCTCACACGCTCACGCACACACACTTAATGTAGAAACTCAGAGAAATCCGTATGTGTGTTTTCAGTTCGATTAAAGTGTTTCTCTTCTATCCTAAAAATATGTTGTGATAATGAAACGAATTACTACTGAAGCAAGCAACAGGCTTGATATTTTTAAAACACGTGCTTTCTCGATTACATTTCATATAGCCTGTTTAGATGTATAATGATCCGAGGAAAGCGCCTTCCACATCGTAAAGATTTTAACAACAGCAAAGAGAATCTTACTAGCTATATAAAAAAAACTTTTGCATGCGTATAAAGCGGCACATAAAAGCTAACCGATAAAGTAATGTGAATTGAACCGCCGTTAAAAGCGTGGACCTACTTGAGCCGTTGTTCTTTTCTTCATCGCAGGTTGATATTGAGGAATCCTCCTCCACGGTTACTGTAGGGTCCTGTTTGGTCTGTTCCGCGCTATCTGTAGACACATTACATGCAGCATCTCCGGGGACACTCGTATCTGGCTTTTGTTTGGACTGCTCAGGGTTGGGCTTCTCAGAGTTAACAGTCTCAAAGAACTGATCAAATTCTTGAGGAAGTACCCCATTTCGGCCGACGTTGGTGAAGAAATTGCACGAGGAGTTAGTACCACCGTGATGGCTATACATGGCATCGTTTTTAAAAATCATTTCCGCTCTGTTTGATGACTGCAGGAGATCTCGGTGCATTATCTCCTCCGTTGAATAGAATGAAGCGTAATTGCCCCTGTAATGCCATTTGCTCGGATGATCCAGTCCATAGTCCCTGAAAGTCACTTCACGAACAGGTTGGACTTGCGCTAGGTTGGACGAATAGGGAAAATTTACTTGACACGACGTAGTTTGAGGTAAAAACGACGAGACCGACGAGAAATCAGGAGCAGAAACATAGTAAGGTAAATACATATTCGATGCACAGTTGCTGCGATCCTCGTAGTCCGTCATTGCTCGCTTTAGCCTTAGAGAGGAAAAATCGCCTGCTTGACTGCTAAACTTTGCCAATCTATTGCACCATATGCGTGTGGATAGGACTCGCCAAGAAGAAAAAATCGGAAACGTACGCTGACGTGCAATTCATCTTGATCGATTCTTGAGGTAATTGTGTCATGTGATCCGGTAAAAAAAATTACCATATATCAATATCAGTCATTAAGTGAGCGACTCATAGGTAAAGCATGAGGAAGGTCATTGGTTGCCTGCATTTTTTAAACTCCCAAGTTGTATTTCAAGGCATTAGTAAACAATCACAGAAATACCACATCAAATATTTTGTTTAAAATCATAGTTAATGAAACGAAGCACCTTCATCTCAACATTATGCAATTTATTTCCAATGCACCACATTGAGTTGTACTATTCAGTTGCTTTATTTTAAGATTTTCCTAGGTTTCCCAACCACCTTTCCTTCCCAGAAAACTTTGACGACTGAAGCAAAACTGCAATGTTTTTCAGTCTCTCCCTATACTTTCCGTAAACTCGGAAATTGAGATTTGCAAAGGAGATTTGATTAAAATGCACGGCACAGTAATAAACATGTTTTTTACGAATGTTTCTGAACCTGCAATAGGCTATTTTACAAAAATGATTTATTTTGTTATAACTTAGGCTATACATTTAAGACATAGGAAAGAATGAAAAAAGAGAAGGCAAAAAAGAAAATACATGGGAAAAAAATCGGGGAGCTGACACAGAAACACACAGAAATGTAATGCAGTTCACCAAATGTCAACGAAAGCAGATTTTGTTTATTCTTCGCAGTCTACAGAAAGTAAACATTTAGTCACTGTTTCCAAAAACGACAAAGGGCAATATAGTAAAGGATAATAACATTTCCATACCTTTCTTTTTTTTAGCCTGAAGTAAAATCTGCAATTTAGTCCGATAATGTATTCCAATAGTCAAACGATTTTGTAACGATTTGAACAAAATTCCTCGACGCAGTTACGGAAAGGAAGAACAGGAAGATAGACGGATTCACACTGCCAAGTACAAAACAACTGTTCTGGCTTTGAACGTCTGTCGTCTGAGACAATGAGCACCGGGCAATCACCACGTCAGCCAAATCTTTTTATTGCACAGGCAAAAGGATGTGCTATGGTGTAGTGTCCTGGGTGGAGGTAAATAGTGACTTTTACATACCGAGAGACTATGGAAAAACTACAAATTAACCGCTTATTTATAAAATAAATAAATGTACATGTCTCATATCTATATGAGCCACAAAGTTGGTGTTCAGCTTATAAAACAAATAAACAGCCAAAGTTGTTATATTGTTTTTGTACTGCCTGTTGTATTTTAAATCTGTTTTTTTTATTTTTTTTTATTTATTATACTGCTAACCTGCCTATAGTGACCTATAAAGATCACAATGTTTTTATTGGTAAATACAGTTTCTTGATTTACAATGGGAAACTAGCCATTCCAGAAGATATTTTAACACATTTAAAATTTCAAAGCTGAATCGCAAAAGCGGTTGGCTTTCTTAACGAAACGCTTATCTTGTACGATCCATACTAAAGAGTTTGTCTTTTGTTGCACCTTTGTTCTGGGTAGAACTCAAAGTGTTATAGCCCAAGAAAAGATGAGTCTGTTTATCAGTCGATGTCCAAATATTTTTTTAAACATTTTTCTCAATAATATAAACCTGTAAACTGTATTGAGCGTTAGCGCATCAAATAAATGATCATGCGGTTTGGCCTTGTAATGTGAGAGTTGTGCAAACTCTTGTGCACACACACACACACACACACACACACACATATATATATATATATATATATATATGGATGATTCCAATATTTGTCTTCATTTGTCAATTTCGGTCACTAACTTGACCTTAACTTTGTATTGGCGCCCCCAGTTTCTACTGCGGCCGAAAAACGTCTTGCATTCCGTTTGTTTCTTGCTTGTTCAGTCTTTTAACACAGTTCAGTCTTCATCGCACTTATAGGAATTGCGAAGACAATAAACTTGGAACAAACTTACCTATGTCTTATTTATTTCTAATGTGTGTTTTTAATTATCTAGATATTCAGAAAATACATATTTTAAATTAAAATGGTAATACCTGATCATTTGAATGATGATAAACATATACTGGTAATAATAATATAATACTATATTTGGTGAAGGTGTACAGCGGTGGTGCTGTGCAACCATGCGTTTAATCATGATTTTAAGTTGCGGAGAGTAAAGACTAGTTTACAAGGTTACTCTATAAGCATACATAGTACTATAATTGTATATGTATGTAATACTATAATTGTACCAAATTGTTTACCAATATACCTTGCTGATAAACAGTATGTGCATGTGCATTAGAAAGGTGGAATTGCATAGACATTGTCTTTATGTCCACATGTCACTGGTTTGTAATGCTGATATTAATATATTAATTATTTATTTATATTTGGTATAGGCCGGTTTTGTCTTCGCACGCAATACATATGATTGTACCACTGATTTACCTGATCTGTATACACTCTTTTCAAAATAAATAACCCAATTATTATTTCAATGAATAATCAGCGTTTATTTGTAGAAATATTATGGCAGTAATTTGAACACATTTCTTAGAAAAGAGCTAAATCAATGACATTTTACTACATATCTACAAAAGTAAATACTAAATTGTAGGGATAAGGAATTGTTTAGTCGTCCAATTCCTCTTATGACCTATAGACCACAGCGCATAGTTACAGCACTTCGTTTGCTCGTTAAAGTTCTGTTTAATTCGATTATATATAATTTAAGAAAATATAAAATGATTGAGATTCATAGAGTAAAGATATTCGCACACCGGAGTTTGTGTATTAACAAACGAACTTGAGCTTGGACTGGAGGCACCACAGCTTTTTATTCGAGCATTTCATAATCACCCACCGAATTAGACAAGTATCGCACAAGAACGCAGAAGTTTAATATAATGCATAATTTACAGAACACTTAATACATATTACACATGACACTTTTGGTTAAAATACAACAAAAACAAAACTTACATTTTTTTAGATCGGAAGATACAAATGAGGTATTATCAAAAAATATTAAAAAGGTCTACTCTAAATTTGCAGTAGTTCTAAACTATAAAGCATTCTGGTAACACTTTACAATAAGGTTCCATTAGTTAATGTTAGTTCATTTATAAACTAACATGAACAAACAATGAACAATACATTTATTACAGTATTTATTAATCTTTGTTAATGTTAGTTAATGAAAACACAGTCGTTCATTGTTAGATCATGTACAAGCACAAGTTTCGATTTTAATAATGCATTAGTAAATGTTGAAATGAACATTAACTAAGATTAATAAACGCCCTAGAAGTATTGTTCATGCTTATTTCATGTTAACTAAAGTAGTTAACTAATGTTAACTAATGAACCTTATTGTAAAGTGTTACCAGCATTCTTTTTACATAGTGATCTTTTTAAATTGCTAACATTACAACTATGGAATTATCCTTTTTCCCATCAAAAAACATACTCCAGACACATACAAATGCTCCGTGTTTTTGGCAAATAAATATACATTTCAAAATATTCAGCTTCGATTTTAAATTACATTTCATAAGTGGTCGGGAGATAATCGTTTCCAGACAGAAGGGTTTGGTGGACTTTGATCTCCATAAGAAAAATCTATTGTATGAATGATGCCATCACCTAATAAACAAACCCTATATTGTTAAAAATAATAATAATAATAATAAATTAGTAAACAGTGAAGATATGCTCGCGCATCATAAGTCTTTTTTTCTTCATTCTGCGGTTCTGAAACCAGATTTTCACTTGCTGATCACTCAGTTCCAATCTGTCGGAAAGCTCCTTTCGTTTCTGTCGGTTTATAAATTCATGAATCATAAATTCGTTCTCCAGTTCGGCTAACTGTGGCTTTGTGTAAGGCTTTCTCTTTTTTCTTGATCTCACCTGTGAGGGACACCACGGCAATCCTGGAGAGGAGAGAAAAAAATCCAATAGTGCACTAGTCATTATTCTTTCATGTCACTGAATTAATAGCCTAGGGTATCGTCTTCTAAAGTCGTTAACTCTTAAACACGACCACAACTCTGATTACCCCGTAACATCTATGCCTTTATCGTTAGGCATGTGTAAGTACACATATAAAGACTACAGAGTTAAAATCCACTGAAATCAAGGCCAACGAGTGACATCTAAACACAGCGTTGGTGTCTGTGACGGAAGGGTCAAAAGTTGCGTACCATCGGAGAAGGCTGATCTGATAGCCTGGGTGTTCAGTGATGTTTGAAATGGAGCGTTGGAGCTGACAGACTGATTTGAACCATCAGTCACTGGCTGGTCACTGAAGTTCAGTTCATTCTGTGCAACCCTGTCCTGCTTTCGCCTTTCTGAGCTCGAAACTTCGTTGCTGGCAGAGCCAGTGATTCTCTGCTCACATGCGTAAGCTGCATTAGGTCGTCCAGGCTCCTCTGATTTGTGGCTGACATCTTGGAAGTAGTACCTCCCGGATTCCTCCAGTGATCCCTTTTTGTGAGTGTTGAGGCTAGCGCTCACAGCGGCTGGATTGCTAAAAAACGGCTGAGAGTAGCCACTGTAGGCGCGGCTCTGGGCCGAATTTGGAGAACTCCACGGGTGCGCGCACACCTCTCTCCTACTGTAGGACATCTGCGGAAGCCCAGATAGATGGACTCCACTGCCTCGCAAGTTTTGGAGGTACAGGGAGTCGGGAGAGTGAAAATTCAAAAGGGGAGAAACATACCCAGAACTAAGAAGATTGTGCTCGCACATTTCTGACGAGCTTGCCTGATCGCTTCTTAAAACCGTTTAAGTTACCCCTAAAGAAGCAGGCAAGGTAATTGTTGATTTGTTAATGCACCATCACGTGATATGCAAAGTGAAATGTTTAGCCACGCCCATGTGACAGTGCTGCAAAGTCAGAAATAGGCATTGCATTAAACGCATATAAAATAACAATTTTTGCAGATACCCCAATCAATATCTTACCTATTCATTTCAAACTATGTTTTTTGCTATATAATGTAAAAGAGGGTCTATGTATCACATGCTTCGCTATTTTTGTGAAAAATGGGTTGAAAAAGCAAATACGTAAAATAAAAAGAATAGAAAAGAAAATCCTAAAACAGTGCATAAAATAATAGCGTTGATTAATAATGAAGGCTACAGCGAGTGAGTGTCCTGGTGCGCCTTTGGCTCACGGAGGCAAACATGCATTGTAGCATGACTTTAAGTCAAGTGTTCGAAACTATTCAATATAGGGACTTTAAATACATTATAAACCCAGTGTGACGTTCTGTTACAATATAACTTCCTGTAAAACATTTTTTTTTCTAAGCACACAAACACACACACCACACACACACACACACACACACACACAAACAGACATAATGAAAAATGTATGCATGGGGATAGAGAATATTCCTAAATTTGTAATGGGGGGAAAAAACAAACAATACAATAATGCATTACTGCTAAATCAGTCAATCAAACAATAAAACAACAATTTGTGCGTTGCTTTATCAAAATAATAACTCTGTGTATGGATTTCGCACTTAAATGATATTGTAACTAGTATTTTACTCTTCACATTTATCACACGTTCATGCAGTGATCATGGGTTAACATTTATGTAGGCTTACTGATTTTTTCACATTTGAATAAAAGCCGTCGCTTTTATCCAAAGCGACTTCGAGGACATTCGAGGCATAGCTTATATTTTACTGGTATCCTATAGTTCCCATTTATTCATGTATAAACTACATTTACAGACCGTTGCAGGCCTCAGCAGTTGTGGAATCCGTACTATTATGAATATCAGTCCTCTATTGAAATTCATTAGTTATGTTTCTCAAAGTATAGGCCTACATAAAATTAAAGGTCTAGGCCTACTACTGTCAAAAATTAAATTCAAGCCAGTTGAATGTAGTGTACAGTAACTTTGCAATGACAATAAATAATACATTATAACTCTTAAAATTACATTAATAACTCTCTGATTAATTAAAAGTGATCCCAAAAACAGGATTACTGAAAGACTGCAACTTTCGCGCTATTGGCGCTTTACTGGGTGCTTCGGGGAAACCAGCCACGGTCTAACAAATTATTATTTATTTATTTTTATTTTTGGTAACACTTTATTTCGATAGTCCACTTTAGACATTCTATTAACAGTAAGTAACTTTGCAACTACATGTCAACTTGCAGTTAGTAGAGTATTAGTAGACTGTCTGCTTAATATCTTCTAACACTTTCTTTATCAGCTTATTCTACTAACCCTTAACCTACCCTAACAGTCTACTCTGAGAGTTAGTAGACATGTAGTTGCAAATTAATGAGAATTATTTGACATGTAGTTGACATGTAGTTACAAAGTTACTTATAGTTAATAGAATGTCTAAAGTGGACTATCGAAATAAAGTGTAACCTTATTTGTTTGCTGGGATCTCTTAAATAAACATTACACGAGAAACTATTGCATAAAATCCATAAAACGCTGGTACTATACAATAGCCATGGTACTGCACTCACATAAAACGAAAAATAAAACATAACCTTTTAAATGAAAAGAAAGATCAGTGGCCATCAAATATGGCGTAGAAATGACTAGTGCTACAGAAAGATAATTGCTTAACAATTCTTTAAAAATCGACTGAAACACTGAACATCTCAACATTCTTTCAGCAAACCTGGATGCAAGTATAAAAACATTATCTGAATAAACTACGACTGAGCACGACTGATAGCCCTTAAAAAAGAAGAAGAAAAACAAAGAGCTAAACTCTTCACTATGAAGCAGCATTTACATGATTTAATCTTTAATAGGATTAAAGATCTTTGCAGACTTCAGGTTTCTTCTTATCCTTGACTCTACGGGTTTGAAACCAGATAGTTACTTGTCTCTCAGACAGGTTTGTAGAAAAAGCGATCCGCCGTCTCTTCTCCTTTGTAATGAACAATTACACTTTGCAATTTTTTGTAAGGAACCCGTTTCTTTCTCCCGCGCTGACAGAATGAAACCGCTGGTCCCTCTGAGGAAATACAAATCATTTTAATTATATGGCTGTCTTTTGTTACAAGATCTTTTCATAGTTCCAAGATTAACAATGATGTAACATTTATTGCAATTTACCTTAACGCAGGCGTGGTTCTTTTTTTAAAGAAACATCTTCCAATAATCTAAATGTAGGCTAATGGTACAATTTTTAAAAACTAAATTAATTGCGACATGTAAATTTCTATCCAAAGAAAGTCCAATTCAGGTTCAAAAGAACTCAATAACTTTATAAGGAACGTTTTTAATTTCTGTCATTATTAATTTCAGATTAGTGACCTAAGCCTGTGCTTCTGATTTTAAGAATTAATTTCATTATTTTGATACTGACATGATTGTGGCATTTAATAAAACTAATCAAGTGAGGCGAGGAGTGATTCACAGAGCAGATCTCACAAGTCTTACATGTTAATGATGGTTTCCAGATATGCGGGCTCTGCGTCTGGTCATTGGGGCAATAAAGTTGACCGCTGCATTTGTTTGACCAGTTCCACGGCTGGTGGCCTTCCATTGTCAAGCAAGTATCCTGTCCGGTCACTGCTCTATAAACTACAGGTAAATCAATATAGACAGGGGGGATTCTTGGGTAGGAACCGGTGTATCTTTGGTAAAACGCGAACTCCTTAAGCCAGGCGTCACCATAGTCCACGGGTTTACTGCCAGACTGCCCATTCGCATTTTTTTTTTACAACACTAGACAAAAACACAGCCTTCTATGGAACTTTGCAACCATAACAATTGTTTCAGAAACGACATCCAAAAGTGACCGAGGAATTAGTGCCAATGTTGGCTGAAAAAGAAACGTAAGGAGTGAGAGACTCAGAGCTTGTCGAAGTCGGTCGTTCCGCCGCGAAGAACATCGGAGTTTCTGACGCAGACCGGCTTGAGTGAGCCCCGAAGACAGACGGGTAAACGTGTCTGAACTCCTCATCCAATCCCCTTGCTTCCATATTTACTTGCACACAGTGTAGGCCTATATGATTTGCAATTTAACTCATTGTATTTTATGAGTTCAAAACCACGAAAAATGTACACAGAGAACAATCTCCGTTGATAGTTAAGCCTTTATGTTTTTTTCCCCCGGACTATTTACATAGGTCAGATAACCTGGTACCTGATATGGATAGTTGTCACCATGTGACATGCAAATGGTTAAACTGAATTTGGACAACACCACTGAGTAGATTTCACTTGTCTTGTGTGAGCCTAGTTTAAGTATTTTAATCCAGGACATAAACACGATTACATTTCTTTTTGTTCTATATTTTGTTATACATTTATTTGATATACTAATATATATATATATATATATATAGTACTAGTTGGTAGTAGCTGGTCCATAATTTGATAAATGTCAGAACCGACTGCTGTAATATTTTTAATCACTAGGTAGCTCTGTAATTTTAATAATTTCCATACATTAGCCAGAACTGCAAGATCCATTATACATAAACAGGGTTCTGGAGATGTACTGCGAAGTAGAAGTTGCGTTTTAGAGTAGAAGAGATTCACCAGCCTGCCCTTTGCTCAGTGAAAAACATTGTGGCACGCCCTGGAGCGTCAGAGAGGAAGACGATGATGTTGTGAAAGAGGAGGAAAATGGCGTGGGAAGACATTGTGTTGCACAACACATAACTGATTTCCATGCACGACAACTATTTTTGTTTCCCTCTTCCAACTTTCACCTTGCCTGTAAAGCAGGGGTGTCAAACTCAATTACTGGAGGGCTGGGGCCCTGCAGAGTTTTGTTCCAACACACATAGGCTACCATATAGTCTTCAAATAAGCCAAGAAGGACTTGATTAGTTGGATCAGGTGTGTTTAATTAGGGTTGAATCTAAACTCTACAGGGCTCCGGCCCTCCAGGAATTGAGTTTGACACCCCTGCTGTAAGGCATAGCCCATTTTTCTTGAAAATTACTTCCTGAATTTCATTTATACAGCTGTCGATTTTACAGTCTCAAGTTTATATTAAGAATGTACTTTAAGTAAGTAGCAAGTGTTAGAGTAGTCCTAAGTGTAATTTTGTGGTTAGGAGGTTGTCTGCTTGTGATGCACTTTAACATTCAATTACTCCTGAACACTTAACGATCTACAATAGCTTTTATGATTTACTTAAGCTTACTTTTGCTTTTGGGATTTTGTGCGCATGTAGGTCCCATTGCCAAACACCTGTGAGCCCCTCAAAAGCATACATTTATAGCCGGAAAGGGAAACCAGACAACCTGCAGGGTTTTTTTCCTTTTCTTTTCTTTTCTTTTCTTTTCTTTTCTTTAGTGCCCTCACAAGAAGCTTGTAGTTGTTGACATACCACAGAAAGCAGTAAAACTAACATACCTTTCACAATAGTTATCCAGGAATTGCGGATTCTGAACGTTGTGCGACGCTTTGATGACAAACATTAAACGTTAAATAGAAACGCTATTCATTTTTCATTATTGTAAATGCAAATGTGAAATAATTCACATTGATTGTGCTGATGTATGATTTTCATATAACTAATTCAGGGCCTTACTGGTTGATTTGTATTTATTTACAGTGTTGGGGAAAGTTACTTTTAAAAGTAATGCGTTACAATATTGCGTTACTCCATAAAAAAGTAACTAATTACGTTACTTAGTTACTTTTTATGGAAAGTAATGCATTACGTTACTTTTGTGTTACTTTTTAAATCTGGACAGGGCTTGCTTGTTTGTTTTTAAAATAAAAAAGTTAT